TTTATTGCAGGCACAGCGTACTGCATGTGGTGCAATGATAACCTAAAATATGGTAAAGGCGGCAAGAGGGTTTTCAAAAATCATGCTCAAACAAAGAAACATCTGAAGTCCACAAACACCATGAAGATAGAACTCTCAGCCCCTCCTAGCAGCATTTCATAAGGTGTTGAAAAACACTCTAGCACATGAACCCGATGGAAAGGAAGTCTGCACTTTACCATATTGCGCTGCTTCAAATATACATGGTTCCTCATGTTCGTCCATTCCAGAAACTGTTGCTGCAGTTGTAAGCTTTGGAGACCAAATGTCACATGCAGAGGCAAGAACTGTGTCATTCATTGCAGAGCACTCCCTTCCATTATCACTTGCTCCTCAGTTAATTGAGTATGCCAGGGAATGGTGAAAAGATCACAAAGCATTAGACAGTATATCAGTGGGCAGAACCTGTGCCGAGTACAAGATGAGCAATGGGCTGTCTGAAGTTCTGTACAAACGACTCGTCAGCACTCTTCATCAAGTTCCATTCTCAATGAACACTGATGAGTGCACAGCAAGAAATAACCAGAAGATTCTAAGTATCCTGGTATCTTACTTTTCAGAGGAGGAGAAGCCCCACTGTTGTTTACCCGTTGGCTTCTGTGTCGCTGCTGGCAGTAAGTTCTGAAGTTGTGTATAAAGCAGTTTGTGACATTTTTGAAGAAAACAACATTCTGTACACCAACCTTGTATCAGTCATTTCAGATTCAGCTGCATACATGAGGGGCAAAACATCTGGCTTCAAAACTCTGCTGCGCCAAAGAAAAGTACCACACCTACTTCACATCGATGGGGACTTGTGTCACCATATCCACAACTGCGTCAAATTGTTTTGTTCCCACTTTGAGCACAGACTTGAACATCTATGTGATGATCTGCACAGAGACATGAAATGGTTTCCAGATTTGAAGGCTTTACCTCAGGAACTGTGTAGTATCTTTTCCGTACTCCAGAGGAACGAGTACCACACCGCTGGCTGTCTGTCCTTGATACATCTAGTGATATTGTTCTTATGTTTCCAGCCATTTTATGCATTTATTTTGCATATGTGCCTAAGGATGAGCAAGATTGTATAAGGAATTCATCAAGACATCCCATCCATCTGAATCAACCAAGTTTAGGCTGAAAGAAATGAGAAGATTGTGCACGGAAGAGTTCAAGACTTCAACAGCAGCAGGAAAAGAAAAGAAGACCAGAATCATGAAAATGCTGTTCCATGAACACAATCAAACAATGGCCTCCGTCTACCTTATACAGTGATGTCTTGCTAGTGTTTAAGTCTTGTGTATTGCTGGTCCAGCCCCATGATACACAAAATCCATGATGAAATCACCAGTCTTGGCAGAACATTTCTGTCAAGTTTCTGTTGTCATGAGAAGATTAGAGATGCATCCATTAAGGAGTTGCAGACAACGAAGCTGTTGGAACGTCTCCGTCCACTGTCAGGTTCTACATTGGTCGGAGTGCGAGAAAATGCATTCTCACCAACCAAAATCTCTTGGAAATGAGTTCATCCTGAAAGTGAAAGAAGCATATTTAACAACAGGAGAATATCTGCTTAAAAAGATGCCCATTGGTAATCACCTCCTGCATAGACTTTCTTCACTAGATCCTAAAGCTATGGGGTTTTCTGTCACATACTCAGTGCTGGAGAGACTTCCTTTGCACTTTGCTCCTGTGTTTCATAATGATAATGACAGAGATCAGTATGAGCAAGAAGTATCAAGACTGCAGCTGGATAAAACCCTGCCACCTGTGGAAATTGATGGACACACAACAGAACTGGATAAATGGTGGGGTGAAGTACCAGCAACAAAGAAATATCCCTGCCTTGGTAGGGTTGTCATGTGTGCACTCTGCATTTTCACAGCCCCTAAAGTTGAGCCAGTCCTTCATTGTGATGAATCACCTGGTAAATGCATAAACCAATCGCTTGAATGTGTCAACATACCGTGCTTACCAGACTGTCAAGTATAATCTTAAAAGCAAAAGGAACAACACTCCACTTGTATAAGCGACCAGACATGCCAAAGAGCCCTGTGGATCAAAGCCTTTGCTATAGCCTTTGCTACCACATGCAAACAGCTTCATGGACAAAAAAGTAAACCAGAGAAAAGGAGCAAAGGATACAGGTTCGAAGCATAGGACAGTGGCAGCAACGGCAGCAGCAAAGACATCACAAATCTCATCAAGTGTTAAGAAATGCAAAAAGGCACCTGTATGTTGTCTTAAGGGAAAAAGAAAACTCGGCATGCACTAGACATGAACATGAACAATTTGTAAAGCTATGCACTCAAAGAGCACAGGATTAATGAAAGCAAGCACTGGAGATCAAAGCCGCCACCAGTAAAGGTAGACAAGTACATTTATGTACACATGCACCATTCAGAAGTTTCAAATGTTTCTTTCTTTTATTGTGTTAAATGGTCCAAAAGGCCCCCTGCAATGCCTTCCTCTGTGCTTATCACTAAGTGTTTATAGCATAGACAGTCATTTTCAAATTTTTTTGGCACAGGCTAGTGGCATCCCTGTTGTAGTTATTGACATATCCGAAAGAACGCAAGGCTTGTTGTACTAATTCTTAATATTTTTTTGCAACTCTGCTTTTGTCCACACGTTACATGGCCTCTTCATGTGCATAGTTGTGTACTTTCGACCCTCAGAAGAATGAAAATGGTCCAAATCTGGCAATCGTGGTGGCATCTGAAAGGGCACATATTCCTCTACCTAGTGATGTTAGTTTCATTTCTGTATTTGCTGTCTTTATTGAAAAGCTGCAAAAGAGTGCAAGGGTTTTTGTAACTGCTTCCTATTTTTTTGAATTCTGCCCTTGTGTCCACACCGTACGTATCCTTCTTCTGAAGCAAAACTGGCTTCGTATTTTTGACCCTAAAAAGACTGAAAATGGTCCAAATCTGGCAATCGGGGTGGCATCTGAAAGGGGGATATGTTCCTCCACCTAGTGATTCATTCATAGTTTTATTAAAAAATGGTGTGACGTAGTCATATTTGGCCAAACTGAAGTCTTGGGTGGTTAAAAAATTTCTTTTTTTCTTGCTTATTTGCAAAATTTAATTGAACCATACTGGTAGAAATACAATTTATATATGTAGATAGGCCCTACTAGTACTAGGATTAAGGCATGTATGCTCAAGGTCTGACATGTCTGAAAGTTAGTTTGAAAAAGTGGACATATGTTTCCTTTGTTGTAGGAACAGGGTGCTAAAGGTAATGTACACTGTCCATCCTGAGCCTTCACTTCTCAGCAGGCATTGCCAAATGTTAATGCATGGTCAAGTTGGCTGCTGTTGAATAGGAAGACTGAGGTGTTTATGAATCATGAATAAAAAAAAGTTTGTGTACGTTCAAATGTATGAATACTGAGCGCAGTTCTGCAGGGTTGAACCATCAAGCATGTAAAAAATCCCATCCATATAAATCTTGAGGTACATCCTAGCTAGGCCTATTGTCTCTGCTGTGACTGCATATTGATTTATCCTTGTTTCATTCTGCTTCCCTGGGTAAAAATGTGGGGTAATTTTCAAAATCAAAAAAGTACATGTACAAAGTTTTAAATCTTTGCAATCTTACAAGCAACCCAACATGAATATTCATAGAAAATATACATGTACCTGTGGTTAGTACCTGAAATATATGTATTTTGTTTCCTGAATGTCAGAATATTGAAAGAATGTGCATGCATATATTTTAGTATATATGGACACAATGTCCCATCATTTACCCTTCAAACTTGGTTTAAAGGGGAAACACAAAGCTTGTCTGTATAAGTAAAGCAGCCAATAACAGTTTTTTTACAGCAGTCATGTGGTACAGCATTCCGTTTGTCCATTGTGGTGTCAGAGGCAACATATCGAATCCTCATGCACTTTAACGTTGTCCAAGTAAAGCTTTAGAGCTTCACAAATTGCCCAATGTATTCATTCTTGATCTTTTTTGTTTTGAACGCTGATGATTGCCTTTTTAACTGCCAGTTCTTTAGGAAATGGAATATAAGTTGCCCCAACTGGCTTATGTCCCGCCACATTGATAAAAAATGCGACAACTCTTAGTGACTTTTTTTTAAATATCCAGCCCCAGGATCACCAATATTGATAACGGCCCTGGCAGGAAGTGGCTAAGCACTAAATGCACTACATGTATAATTGTGTTACCAACGGCATGCTTTTACAAAGCAGTTGCGACCCCCTGTTTGGGGTGCGTGCTCAGATTCATGCACACATGCGTACTCGGGACACAGTGAGCATAATTAGACTGACTTCCATCTTTCGGTGCTGTGCACCATTGTTAGTTATTACACGAGTGCGAGCGGAACAAGAATAATGTTGCACGTCGAGGCCGAAGAATGAGTGATTACATCATCTACACGGGACGAAGATGCAATAAACGTACATTATTCCATGTTCCATGAGCATGATAATGAATTTATCTTCAAGCAAACTCAATAAGCAGTAAAGGTGTTATAGGGACGTATCTTTGATCTCAGGACACAGGGCAACATGCCCCAACTGTACAGTCAAAGGAGGGTCTATCAGGCACCAGGTGCCAGTGTGATTTTGTCAGTCATGCCAATTACATGGATATACGTGTATCTGTCAGATTAATTGTGCTCAAAAATAACCCCCAAAAAATCAGGCCCACCTGGATTTAGATGTACAGTGTTCGGCCAAACTGCATTTGATGATTTGCTGGAAAGCATCATGATGAATCACGGTGATCTGCAGGTTCTAGCTTGAGGGACAGTCCATATCAACAACATTAACAGTGGTTTAAATTCATGTGTGGTACGTACTGTCAACTTGACTGTGCTCAGCAGTTGTAATCCAATTTAGAGGGGGCGGTGCATTGCTGTGATAACGCGATGTAGGCGAGGGGGAAGTAGTTTTTATACAGCCTTGGGATCAGAAGCCATTTGAACATTTTATAGCTTTTTTTTTTACTTGCAGTGTTTGACTGGACCAACGAGCCACATCTGTGGACAATACACACCCAGGATTTTGGACAGTGATGCAGCGAGCATGAGCAGTGAGGCCTAAGGGTTGGCACAGTGATTGAACGTTAGAAAACACAGGTGCGTCCAGCCCACTGCCGAAGTACATGTATGTTATAAAATTTGTTTCTACATTTCCTGATTATTATGTAAGGCTACTATGTAACACGGTGACCTATTTATTAGTACATGTAAGTCATGTTGTAGGATCCTTCAAATACCTGCTTGAGCCCATCCAGGATTTTGTGTCCATGAGAATGACAATTTTCTGCAATTGGCTTTCTCTTCACAGAACAAAAGAAATCAGTGCAGTCACAAATTATCTCTCACTTGTGCATGTACATGTCCTCTACATTTCAAAGTTCAACTTACTGTCCACATTCGGTTTACCAATTTTTTTGTGTCCTGGACCGTGCAGCTTAAATGAACTTTAGTACATTAGACATCATGAACCATTTTGGAAGGCATCCAGTCTGCTTCCGATATCCTTACCCATTTCCGCCATTCAAAGAACTGAGGAAACGTAAGGATTTTCACCATTTTTTTTTTTCAAGTTTACAAGTGGACTCCAAAGACATAGGCACCTTCCAATCAGTACATAAAAAGGGAACTTTTTTTTGCTTTCTTTGCCTGCAAGTCGAGTTAATAAGCCCTCACACCCTGGCCGTCTTATACTTGTATTACATATCGAGCTTTAACTTTAAGTTACTTTAAGTTGACTGCTGCGCATAATTTCACTGCACGTTGCCATTTGCCAAGCATTACATTCATACGTGCCTATTTAATAGTCGTAATACGTTCATATTTCTAACTACTGTATGGAGAAAAAATCTACGAGATACATGTACATGTAACTCTTAGCTGACAATGGCGCAGTGTTGATATGAGTTATCTTGTACATGTACACTACCTTGCCTATATTCCCGCACCTGATTCCCGTTACCCTCAAACTGCAAGAGAGGTCCCGCAGACAAAAACCCTAATCCAGGCTTCCTGGAAATTGACCACAAAGGGGGCATCGTGTAAACCACAACTTAACACCTTCTGTGGGCATCGGGACAACAGTTCTCGCATGAGGGCTTTCATGCCTGAGCTGGTTAGGGCCGGTGACCATTTAGACCCGGTTTGAAAGGGGCCCCCTAGTAGTAGGAAATAGCCAATTCTGGAGGACCTACCCTTTCCTCCCCTTTCACTCACTCATGCCGGGGATTCTCACTTCACTGACCTTGAACTCTTGACCCCCGCGCGCACTTTTCCTGTAAACAACTTGTGACTTGATGCCAACTCCCCTTTCACCCACTCGCGCCGGTGATTCCCACTTACCTTTTAACCCTGGTGCACTTTTTTCTTTGACCAGCACCGATCGCACAAATAATCACTCTCAAACAATCACTCTCAAACAAAAAAGGGACCTCCCGTCACTTACCCGTTATAAAAAAACGAAAAAAATAAATAAACACTACATAAAAAATAAATGGTAGATCAAACTACAAACGTGAATTGTTATTTTTGCAAAGACACGAAATTCGATCGGTTTGATAGATTCGTATGATTGCTTTCGTTGTTTAAATTCCAAAAGTTTATGCAAATGCACCGATTGTAAAGAATGCCACAATTGTCACCAATTTAACGATTGCACAAGATGTCATGACTGCTCCACCTGTGACGATTGCCGTAGATGTATAAATTGTGTGGCTTGTTTTAATTCATATGACTGCCAAAATTCAAATGCCTTGGATAGTTGCGAGGACTGTTACGAGTGCACCCATTGTATCGAATGTTTTGGTTGTACATATTGCACCTGCTGCGTAAATTGTGTCGAGTTGGAAGGAATGGATCACGTGGTGCTCGTAGACGGCAAGCATAGAAAGCTGAGACGTGCGAGAAAACGAGCCACTGCCCGATTTAGCGAATAACTCGACGCAATTTATACAAAATTGGACTAACTATTGAATACGACGTTAACGTTGAACATTTAATTAAAGTAGAAATCCCACCCAAATTAATGGATGCGGCCTGGTAAAAATGAGAAAAATTTAAGTCAAAGCCAGGAAAATCAGAACCATGTCAACCCAAGTATTTATTGTTTCAGATGACCATGAGCGTCTCAATGCCGACAACTGCGACCACAATGTCACCTACAGTCCCTTTGACCCGAGTAAATTAATCATTTCAAAACCTGCGATTAAAGAAGGGGCTCAAGTTAGTCAATGCACTTCACCCATTTTTTACCATCACAACTGCCAAAATAAATGCTTGTTGATTATGACGATAGAACCCTGTTACAGTATAAACCCACTTTACAAATAAGGCACTCGAGATAACACGCCCGAAAAATCCAAGGCCGTCAAATTTGCTATCAAATACAGCAACCTACGACAAATGTACTCGATCACATAAATTTGGCCGTTTATAAATTTATCGAATCTCAAGAGTCTAATCTCCCGTCTAACACAATAAATGCCTACAAAGCCAGTCGCGATATCGATGACCTTAATAAAATAGAGTACGGAGTTAAACCGCCTTATACGGCTAAAAACCAAATGTACGTTAAAATAGATCCATGTGCTTTGCTATTTGATCAGCAAAAAAGATCTACCAATTCGTCAATTATCGATAAATTTATCAATAAGAGATTCGACGCGCAATCATTTATTTGTGCAAAAGACGTATACTACGGTACCCACGGTTCACTGTCTTGCGGCGCTAGTGTTTGGTATAGAGTGACAGTGGCAATGTTGAAAATTAGAAAGGACGGACTAATTTCGAGTAAGTCGGCATTGCAAGTGTTGAGCGGATTTTAATCTCCTGTGAAACTAAAAGTCGATTAAATCTGAAAAATCAATTTAACCTCGGTTATTCCTCGGAATAACTGGGGGTTTTTTTTCATCACTCGTTTGTTAAATAAATGGACTATTAATAAAAAATGACAGACGCAGAACTTTGTCACTTGCTCAACCTGAAAGAAGTACATAGAGAAGGTAGAAAACCCAGACCCCCGCTAGCCAACCCTCCAAGACCCAAAAACATGTGCGAGCACCAAATTCTTGAAATAGACGAAAGATACGCTTGGAAACATTGCGGTCTAATTTTTGGATGGGTTTCCTCATACACCCCTGTAGACATGGAAGACAGATATTACAAGCATCACGTTTGGAAAAAACCGCCACCACCAAAATGGAGAAAAACCCTACAAAAATGTAACATTTGCTTAAAAAAGCGGGTGAAATAGAATATAAGTTAAACCAAGTTTTAAACGGTAAGATCTTCAGAGGTAAAGCGTTAAAGGCCTTAATCGTGGTATGTTATCAAGAGACAACCGGTGAGGACGATTTAAAAGTGAAAGATCTATTTCAAGTTTTGGATAAGTACTGGGAAAACGCCCTCGACAAATTAAACCTCGCCAAATAAGATTTTTCAAAACGTATATAATAAAATGGAGACTCACACATTTTACTTAACTGAGAGCGAGCAGAAGTTTAAATTGAAAGATGTCATTAAAAACACCAAAGGCGACAAAGTCGTCCGAGTCAAGAATATAACAAACGCCACTGAAATTGAGTGGGATGCTAGGCCCGTGGGGGTCCATGGCGAACGACCGCCTGGAATACCTTCAGAGGAAAGAACGGAAGTATCTCCCAATTCAGAATTAGTGCAAACAGCTAAAATCAGATTGATCCAAGCAAGTAAAAGAGGCAATTTAGCGGAAGAAATTAGAATCATCGCTGATGAAATTGAGCAGCTAAACCAAGAAATCGCAGCTTTAGAAGATCAGTTAAACCAAAGACAACCATTAGAAACGCGAGCTTGTTTAGCTTATGATATCGATGATAAAAAAGTCAAATCAGCTGCACTGCTCGAGGGGCACAGACGGGCCTTGGATGAAATTTATAAAGGGAATCCCCCAACTCGACCTACCACAAACTCCCCCTTGACACCCACGAGACCCAGAAGAGAATTAACTAAAAGACTGTTTTTTTACGGGGCTAACGTAACCTATATACGACAGACTTCTTTCTCAAAGTTCATCTCAACCATTACCCGAGGGTCAAAGAGGAAGCATCGTGGTGTCTCCCGGTTATTATAACATGGACTGGTTTCACTTTTTGTTGAACTCGATTCCAGGCGTTTCTTTTAAGGTTCACTCAGAATCTAAACGGGTCACTTTGGCCATTACTCAACGTTATTTATGAAGGCAAGTACGATTTAAACCCCTTGAAACTCGCGTTTATTCATTGCAAACAATTAAATGTATTTAAAAATTTTTATAACGGGCAGTCTTTTGACTTGCTATACGTGATAGCTACCGAGCCTTGCACCTCAACACCCGTGACGTGTAAAACGCTTAAAAAGTTAGAACGCAGAAACATCCGTGACTTGACTTTTTCTGTTAAAAAGTACGGCGTAGAAGCACTGGGCGCGACCTCGGCAGCTGTCGGCATTCACGCTATTTTAGGCGTCGTTACCGGACCCGTCGGACTTGTGATGGAAGGCATCGCTATCGATGCGTTTGGTGCTTATGCGATATTGAAATACACCTCTCGTAGACTCACCCATAAAACTAAAAAACACGACCAAATTCAAATGTTGGCAGATGCTAAATTAAACACCATAGAGGAATACGTATCTCATGCGATGAAGACGGTGATATATCCCAGGAGGAATTTGTCCTTATTTTATCCGAGCTTAAAAAGTTTAACGAAATGAAAGAAAAGATCAGATCGAGTACGTCTACAAAATTGCAAGAAACTTCTAAAGAAGAATTTGAACGCCAAGTCAACGAAAGAGCAGAAGCGCTAGCCAACGAATGGGCGGTGGTTTTAAAAAAAGGTTCTTATGAAAATTTGGCAAATAAGTTTTATAAAGTCGGTCCGATATCTGTCTGATAGACTAACCACCCGCTTATCGAGAAGCGACCCAACCGACGGCACCTCCTTTAAAATAAAAATAAAAACTTATAAAATAAATGGGAGACTACTTTAGTAGCCTAACAATTTTAGTCAACGAAGAAAATTCCTTTTCAGCCGAGTTTCCAAATTTAATGTACGCGTATAAATTACCAAAAGTAACAACGGACGAAGCAGTCAATCGCTGGGTGACCGAGCCGAT